GAGCAGACGCGCTGTTATCTTTGTGCGAGGTACTGACCGTGCACAGGCTGTCTTCTTTGTCAACATCGATGCGAGTCCATGCCTTAAGCATTGGGTCCACAGCGGTCATCCTACTAGCTGATGTTCCCGTCAGAAATTCCCAGCGCTGGGGTCGGGAAAGTTCTTTCATCCTCTGCCTAATTTCGAGCCACCTACTCGTCAGCAATTCCTGAGTACTGGTAGTCGACGTTTTCGACGCGGAATATTTAGGGACTGTTCTCTTTTCCGGTTCATTGCTGTTGTCCATCTTTGCAGGCAGTGCAGAGGAGGGCGTGGGGGCTTCTTCACCATTGTAAATATCAGTAACCCAGCTGTAATCGTCGTCGAGTTCCACATACCTAAGCTCCTATCCTCCCGTATCGCGCCCCTCTCTTGATCGCCGGTGGTTCGTTCCGTCATCGTGGTGTTGCGGAGCATAGACGACAACCTCAGTTCATAATCATTGAGATTACGGCTCATATTTCTGGACGGCAATTGATTGAAAGCGGCATTCACTTCCTCCTGATATGTGGTGAGGATACCTTGCCGAGTTCTCGGGCCGGTGTTGTGATTCATGCGGCGGGGCCGTGAATGACTGGTGGGATGGTGTTGAGGACTATGTGCGACGAGGCGTGATGGTGATGATGAGAAGAGTGGCCAACGACGTGCCACATGGAATGCGGAAGGATGGGGTACGCTTCCGTTCGGTGGGAGGGAAGCAAAAGGAGCAAACGCTGAAAATTGGTTACCCAAGGCCGCCAGAACCGTCAACCACAAGCTGTGTGAAGTGTGTTAGTCATCATGGATTTACAAAGTAGCATAGTTTAGCTTCAGTGGATTTGGGTTCGTCAATACGCTTTCCTCATGAATCTGGTCTGTGTGATCACCTTTCTATCTCGCTCTCTCTCGAGCGTGATGTCATGACTTCAATTCGAGATGCTCATTTCTGCGAGAGTTTGAAGCCAGTATTTCTCAATAAAGTTGTATCCATCTGCGGGAAAATTACCTCATGTGCGGCACTTGAGAGGAATATGTCAGTCGATAGATTCGGACTTGGACGGGCCCTTATGATACGCATAAAAAACCTTAAGTTGGTTTGTGATAGTCGAGCCCGGGGATTTGTCGACTTGTGGCATGACAGAACTTTGTGCTTCTCGTGGATAGTCGTCATGCGAAATCACAGATAGTTAAGTATGGATGAACGGCTTACATTGGAAGAACAGAGCATTTCTACCGCTAGCGGGGATTTTGCGGCATGGAGAGTTGAAGAAAAATTCTTTGAGCTTTCTGAGTCCATCAGCGGCTCGTCAAATGTAACACTGGCCAGTCGGAAAATTCTTGGACAGAAGCTCTATCAAATGTCGGTGGAATATAGATTCTTATGTGAACCACCCAGTCAAAAACAGGCTCTTTAGAGGTCTACCAATCAAATACAGGGCCGTCAAATGCCTCCAAGTCAAACTCAGGGTCGTCAAATACCTCCAA